AACTGAAGTTGAGTAGAGTGCTCGGAGAGAATGAATGAGGCAAAGGTGATAGTGCTGAAAACCAGATTTGCTGATGATCTCTGGTGTTCCAGGTAGTCCTAGGGCAGTACAAAGTGGGACAGGCCCTGCGCTGGCACAGAGTGCTTATACCTCCCAGCATCTTTCCTCCAGAATATCAGCTCAGCCCAGAGAAAAATTGGCAATCAGACAAATTAACTGAGTGAAAGAGAATGTGACACACCTGTGCAGAGGGGGGACAGTCAAACGAGCAGAGCTACAAACAGAATATGAGAGAATTTCAGGAAGAATTTGAAAAACAGGGATGAGACTACAGAAAGAGGAGAATAAGGTGAATTAGACAGAGAGAGATGGAGACATGGGCCACGTTTGGAGGAAAAAGCATGGGGGGAGAAAGGCGGGGGCAAAGTCCAGGCACTCAGCAAGTTCAGAACAATCTCCATTCTCTGCAGCGCTTTCTGTTTAAAAAAAATAAAAAAGGAATGATGGAGAAGGGGAGAGAGTCAGACAAGTTTAATGATGTGTGTTCAAAGCTCAGATTGGAAAAATGACAGAGAAAAGCAGCCTGTTTCGGCTCTAATAAATTGTTCTTTGCTGTAAGAGACGCCTGTCGCAGCATTAATACAGGGCCCTAATACACGGGTCAGGGTTAAGTAATTTTCTCCGGCAACTTAAGCGAATAATGAAGCTGGCAGCGGCTAGTGGCGCAGTGGGAGAGATGGCCCGGGCCGCCGGCACTTTGTCTTCATTTATTATGCCAGCTCTCATGATTTGGGTACTGGCTGCAGCGACGGGAAGCCTCCGCTGAGGAGATATCGCTTCATTTCGGCAAGGTAATGAAAGCTGGGATGGGGGGAGGATAAACCAATTTGCTGGCTGACATGGGAAGGAGTGATTTGCAGACCTGGGTGAGGGAGGGGGGCGGCCAAGTGAGAGGAAGCACAAGGCTAAACCAAAGGGGTGTTCAAGGCCCTTCTCTGAGATAACAGCACCACGTACTCATGGGGAGGGCGACGGAGGACTGAGAAGGAGGGGATGGTGGGGCTGGAGCGCAGCAGATAGCAGAGGCCAAAAGTGCAGGGAGCAGGGAAGAGCCACCAGAAAAGGTAGTGAGGGTAGGAGAAAGGCAGAGATCAGTGGAAGCAGCAGCAGCAGGTTCAGGCACTGTGGGAAGCTGTCAGGGGAGTAAAGAACATGAAACAGTAGGATAAGGAAAGAAAAGCAGGGAGCAGCCATTTAATGAAGCACAAGAAACAGAGTGAAAGGAAAAGAGGTTGTCCTGGTGCTGCGAGGAAGAGAGCCTCCCTGAGCAACTTGTCTGAGCCACTGGCACTTGCAAACTCATTGAAGTTCATCCACCCCAACCTCGTTATCCTTTTCATGTTGGAGATACTCCAGATGAAGCACAAGGCCACCCTAAAGTCACATCACTTTACGGAGAAGAGGGAGCCTCTGTCTCCTGGACTCTGTCCTCACCACATGGACTTAAGCAATGCTGCTCCAAGCCTACTTTTCAAAGCAGATTAGTAATGATCAATTTGATGGCTTAACACTCCAAACAGGGGTGTCACTCAGCCCAGGCTGGGCATACTGTCTGCTTGCAAGTCCCCTCTCAGCACCCCTGCACTGCCGTCCTCTCTTCTCAGTCTGAGAAGACACACTCCCAGCAGCTTGGATGCTATCTTTGTTCCTGCTCCAAAATACCTGCATCTCTAAGAGCATATCCCCACTCCCAAAACAGCAAGGCGAGCAGAGCACTGCCATAGTCAGGTCTGGAACTTGTACATTTTCCTCCCTTCCCCCTCCTTTCGATGTGGGTTAAGGATTTCCAATAAGGACCAAGTGTTGGAGGCTTAACACTGCAGTCTCTAGAGAAGCAGGCCAATTTCACACTAATCTTCCTCATGAAGGGAGAGAGCATCGGAAGCAAGAATTACATCAAAGAGAAGTTAATGCTGAGAAGCAGACGACAAAAAGGAGCTGCTTTCAGTTTCAAATGAATACACACAGCTGGATTAAGAGATCAGGCAGCTCAAAGCCTGTATCACAAGCTTTGGTACCCAGGATTTAGCCAGCAGGGAAGAGTTCTGATCTGGGGGCCCTTTTGAAAGGAGAGGAGGGTCTTTATAGAGCACTGCAGGTATTTGAAAAGAGCAGCGTAGAAGACAAGGCAGGCTGGTCTCCTGGTCTGGCCTCCACTGACCTCTTGTAATAAATGTCACGACAAACTCAGATAATGAGATGGGCTCATGCAGCTTTCCTGAAGCCTTCTTTTGGTAAGCGAGTGGCTACCCTGTTATTTCCCCCAGCCCCACACGTTGGGAAGCATGAAGCCAGTTAGGGCCACCCTGCCTACTTGGTCTGGGGCATTTCAGCTGTGTGGGGAATAGTCCTCCTGATCTTGAAATGCAGGCAATTCAAGTGCAAGTAGCAAAGGCTCCCTGCAATATACTCTCCATAGGAAAGGCAAGCAGGAGCTGATTGCAGTAATGTGCCTGTTGCCCCATTTTAAGCGGCACTGAAGTGAGTCCCAGTGTGCTCCCCCCTCCAGGAGGCTGACAGGTGTAAATCCCACGATGAATGAAAGCACCAATCCCTATAAAGCTGGTGTCTTTCCATGCATCTCTGCTCTGATTGACTTGTCGGCTCTCTAAGGCTGACTATCAGCTCTGTGCTGCCTCCAATTCCAGGTGTGATTTAGTTTGGAGATGAGAGGTGACAGTTAACATTGGTACTCGTCAGTGTAGATCAGACACAGTCACGCTGTCTTCTCCTGGCTCACTCACTCACCTCCTCCCCTATGCTCCCACCCCTCTAGTGTCTTTCACTCCTACCTGTTGCTCTCATTCTCCCTGCCTACCCTCATCCAATCCCCATTATATCCTTTGCACCCCCTTTTATCACCATCGCTGGAGCTCATCTTCAGGAAGTTGTTCTCTTTCACTCCCCCTTTCTGATCCAGCATAACATATTTGTAATGCCTTCAAGAAAGCTTCCCTTGTGCAAAGACTAGGAATAGCTGTTTTGGTGTGTCCTTTCCAGTCCCCTCTAAACCCCAGTAAGTAGTGCCTTGAAAATATTCTATTTGCCAAACATAACCCATTTCTCCATTCTCTCATGAGTTGTTCATCAAGTTGAATTTCCTTGAGAGTATTTGCTGTTTTGTATTCACCAATTCCATGAAATGACTTTGGGATTGAAAGCAGAAGAGGGATTTTATATTTGGTATATGAGATTATACCTTACTTGTTTGGTTTGGAAGATCTCCATATGGTGCATAAGCTGTGACATCCTAGAACGAGCCTAAAAACAAGGTTTCTGACAAATATTTAGATTTCACATCTGGAACTCCTCTTTGATGTAAAACTTCCAGTTCACAAAATACGTCCTGACAATGCCTACTGACTACAACTCTAAAAAGGAACACAGTGGAAAAGAACCCCACTTATTAGAGTTAATAACTGCATAAATTCTTCAATGTAATCACATAGCTCTCTTAGACCAAGTGACTTACTGTACATCCCTATTTACCTATTATTTCCCCACTTGTGTTTGGTTTTAGTACCTTGTAGTTTCTGTGATAGGTTTTCTTTAAGCCTAATATATATAATAAGCCTAAATAAATAACTGTTCCAGCATGATCAAATGGGAGATGACTCAGAGGACAATGCACTGATTAGGGTCAGCCTCCTCAATTCCCATCATTTCAATTTTCAGTAACTTTTGTAACCAATTCTCAATGAGGTATGATCTTCTCTTTTTCAAACGGTGGTCACCCATCATCACAGGTTTCAATGTACCAGAATGTGATCATGAATTTACAGATGGCAAACTGAAAAAGACTGCATGGACAATGGAGAACAGGCTAGGAATCAAAAAAGACCCCAACAAATTGAAGAAAAGGTCTAGAAAATAAAGGAAGCAGGTCAGCCAGAGCACCACACTCAGGCAGAAATAACACAAGCAGATGCAACTATACAAGTAAAGGGAAGGGGCTGCAGAGACACAGGACTTTATAATATTCTTGCTGCTATTAGAAATGATAAAGGAGATGGCCTAAAAACTCCCTCTCCAATCCAAATAATCATCCATACAAAATCATGGGTTTGGAGAAGTATCAGATATGTAGCAGCACTGTAGAAAAGTGAAGAAATAGACTCAAGTGGAAGACAAATCTCCATGCAAAGCTGTTGTAAAAAAATAAACATCATATAAGTCTCTGTAAACAAGCCTGAGAGGTACTGAGCTGGACTTCTCTGACTTTCCTTGCCCCTCTCTGAAGGTGTAAGTTCCAAAAACAAACAAGCTAAAAAACACAAACCAAACCCAATTTAAAAACAAAACAACCACACACAACCATCCAGGAAGACCCAGGGAAGCAGAGCAAGAGTGACTGGAGACTTAGAAAACCTGTCCAGCAAGACAAGGTTGTAATTGGGTTTATTTGGTCTAGAGGGAAAAAAAAAAAAAAACCAGACTGGAGATGATGACAACCATCAAATACATAGCAGACTGCTTTAGAGAAACAAAGACCTTGGAGAGTAGAAAGAATAGCCTGAAAATGCATGAAGAAAGATTAAAAAAACTGGGAGAACTTTCTAGCTATATATGTGGTAAAGTCCTAAAAGAATGTGATCTGAGATGAGGTAGCAGTGTAATCTTTCTTAAAGGCCAAGTTTCAGGTAAGCATTTGGGAGGAATCACATAGATATTCAGGAGTTGGATGAGATGAATTTTTTTACTATATTTTCTCCGAATCTGGAAATACACTGAGAACACACTGCTAATGCACAGACTACCCATAACTCACTTAGCCCCAGAAATAAGCACGCTGCTGAAAATCTGCAGTGGATCCACATTAACATGAGAATGACAACAACATGAGGCATTAACGAAGTAGTGAAGTTACTGTCTACGCTTCCCAGCATAGTTACGACAAAAATGAAGGAGAGAGGAAAAGAAGAACACCACTATATATGTACTATGGTACTGCTGAGAATCTGAAGGAGTATATCCTCTTCTTTGCATGAAAAGCCAAGATGCAGAATTTGGTGACTGCAAGTCATCTGCTCCAGATATTGTGGAGCTTTGAGATTCTTTCTAAGCTTGATTATTTTAATGATAAAGAAAGTTCTGAGCTCTTGAGCTTCAATGAGGTGTGGCGGCAGTTCTGTCCAGACCTGGTGAGATGACAGTGTTGAAAAATACAATTATCCATTAATTCAAACTGGATGAATATTCATTCTTAGCTTTTTCAGTGATATCTTTCCCTTAACCATAAATTATTCCTCTGGGAGAAGATCTGCCTTTAGAGCCACACCAGTGTGTAAAGAGTGCTTATACAAAGAAGCTATCAAGGTTGGTTCCTTCATGTTTGGTCTACATTGGATTGATTTCATTTTGTTTACTTCATAAGTTTTGTTGACATCTACATGTAACCACTAACCCTTGTAACCTGAAGTTACCATGGATGAAATATATCCCCAGCCTTCAGATCACCAAAAAGTTGCAACTCTTCCTCTTGACATCACCTTGAATCTGAAGAGCTGTCCTTTACACTATCAAACAAGGCTAGTCAAAAGCACTAAATGGCACAGTATACAGCTGTCCACACCACCATCCTCAAACTACAGAAGTCAGTGGTAGGCATATCTGCCTGTTTTACAAACTCCTTGCAACACACCAGTGACAGCCACACTTAGAAGCTGAACACTGAACCAGACAGACTACTTGTGTATTCTTCAGAGGTATTCCAGCATCCCTCAATTCTGAGAGCACAACAGCAGAGTACTACATGTTCTTCACCACATTCCCACACAGAGTCCAAAGTTTTAATGTTAAGTTTCATGTTGCTATGTGGTGATAGATGCCCATGTTACCTGAGGATCACCGAGACAAGTACGAGGCACTGAAAAAATGGAAATTGGAACTGCTCCCAGGTATACTCTTGGAAACTGAAGGTGGGGAGCTTTCAAGTCCTAGCCTACAGAACACCCTGGTGAGGTGAGACCAGAAAACTGGAAATTCAAATTTAAGTGGTGGAACCTTAGGAAAGCACAAACAGAATCCACAAAAAAAAAAAAAAAAACCAAAAAAAAACCCACCCAAACCTGACACTCTAGAATTAACTTAGATCAGAGACAGAAACTGCCCCTTTAGTGAACTCTCCCATGGATCTGCTCAGTTCTTGCCCAACAGCTCTGCAACACTGAAAATTGACCACACTCAAGACTGCTCTCACTGCTAAGACATTTCTCAACATCATCTTAATTTATCCAGTTCCCAGCTGCCATCTAGCATTCTTCATCCTCCCATTGTCAGAATCTAAGTTACTTCTCTCTTTCACACAGGTATGTGACAGCTGTCCTCCTGCTCCATCTAAAATCCTCTTCTCCAGGCTTGAGATACATGCTTTCCAATCTGTCATCTACTTTCTTTCTTGATTTTTCCTCTACAGAAGATCCCATCTCTACCTATGCCCAGAAGGGGTACAGCCTACTATCTACTCAGCCTCACATTGCCCAAAGAAGATTCCGAACTGGGAACTGCAGATGGAAATGGGCAGAGTCAGCCCTGAGTGACTGAGCCTTCCAGCTTCTGTCGACTCACTCCCCCAGCAGTTCTTGCAGGTCTCTCATTTCTCACATATGAATACTCTTTTGCTTGCACTGTGCTGTCAGTGGTGGGATGGAGCAGCAGAAGGAACGAGCAGCACTTTAAATGTGGCCAGAAGCCTCTCCAAACACAGGGCTACCTTCTGACCCCAAGAGGGATCCCCACAGCTTTCCAAATGCCCTTTTCTCTCCATCCTGCCCCACGGAGCCCAGAAGTTCAGTTCTGAGGAGCAGTTTGGCTTTTACACCTCCTACTTTCTCCTGAAAATGAAACTCCCTGCCTCCTATATCTACACTCCATGCTTTTGCCATGCATCCATCCATTCCCCTTCCTGCTCCAGCACCTCCTTCCCCACCTCCAGCCCGAGTGACGATCCATGAAAGCCCTCAGCAGTATGTCATGGGAGTGATAATTACATCCCCCGCTTGCATCATGCCGCCTGCTGCTGACCTCTCACCCCTCCTCTCTTTTAATCACCCCTTGGCATCAGTCACTCTGACAGGGCAGCAGCACAGGCCACGTGACCTGTCAGCCTAGGGACGTGACTTATAGGGCCCGACCGGTGGACAAAGGGAAGGGAGATAGGCAGCATAAATCTCCAGGGTGAATAAAAGAGAGTGATGGGGCACTCTGCTGGGGCCTGCGTTAGCAGATTCTTGGCCTCTTGTTATTCAGACCAGAGTTATGGTGATGAGGAAGTGGCCGAGAGTGACACGCACTGGTCCCAATCAACCTTGCGAAACCTGCAGAGACTTAGAGAAGCCTTAATGTCATGCTTGGCTGGAGAACCCCAGAGAGGCTGGGCAAGGGCCTGAGGAGCAGGCAGGGCAGTCACCAGCCATCAGAGGCATCTGACCAGCAAAAGCTTAATCTGTCAGGGCAAAGCACTTAGCCACACAGAACAAGGACAAGGGACCCAATCTCAACTCAGTGTAGCTGGGACAGGATTTGCACATCTGAGAACTCATTGCTGGCTCAAGACGGGCTTCCCCCCTGTTGCTCCAGGCTCCCCCAGTCTTCTGCCTGCTCACAGGCTCCCCTTCCACCTACTCCCCTGCACTACTCATCTATTGCTTGGTAGGATTAAATCATCAGTGCGTGAGACTGCTATTGCCATTATGAACATACAGGACATTTGAGGTTTCCACAAAACAGCAGACTTGCATCACTCCTCTGTTGGGAGAGTTGTTCCTCTCGGTACTGCAGAGACCTTTTACTTCTGTATGGAGTGCAGTAGGGTTTGTTGTGGACTAACGCCTGTTACAACACCTGCAGTCGGACAAAGAGCACCCACGAGAACATACATGGACTGCCACCTCTGTGCTGTGACAATCACCATCTGTGATAGTCCCCACAGATCATCTCATCCCCTTCATACATCTTCCTCAGGAGGGAAAGTGACAAAGGAGGATCTGACATCCCCAGCAGTAACTTCCCCAATACCACACCTTCAGGAAAGAGAAAGAAGCCCAAGAGTTTGAACCTAAAACGTATAGAAGAAAAAAAGCCCAAGGACAGAAACTGGAGGCAGTTTTGAACGTACTAGAGGAATTATAAAGTGAGAAACACCTGAGAGGAAGACAGGGAAATTTTAAATACACTGCCTTTCATGTTTGAAAACCACTAGTGGTGTCTGAAATTGGAGCACTTCAGTGGAAAGTCAAACATTATCAATGACTTTCCTGAGGACTCTGAGAAGCAAAGTAATGAGGCCCATCTCCAGCTTTAGATACAGTTGTTTCTGAGTCCAGAGGTAGGAGGGATTTGACTCCATAAGTATCTTTTATCTGGAAACTATCATGTCTCAGGTGCTCAGAAGCAAGAACTGTGAAAGCACCACAGGCAGAGTGGGAAAGCACTATGCTTACCCTGCTCTGCTGGTACATCCTGTCCTGTGCTGAAACGGGCCCCTCCACACCTTATCTTACAAGGCCTGATGGGCACAGTGAAAACTCCAGCAAGGCCAGCTACTGATATTGGGTATTCATACTGTGCAAATCATCACCTGTTACCACTTGCTCTTGCCCCACACTTCCCACCCTCTCCTGCCCAGGGCCCCATCTCTACATGGTGATTTCACCCTGGGCTGAAAGCCTTGCAGCCTGCTGCCTCCTTACCAGCTGGGTCCTAGCCTCCAAGATGGGAACATACAGCTTCCTACCCTCCTCCCCCCATCTGCCTTTTAACGATGATGGAAACTGCTGTCAGCACGCAGCGACAGTAATAAACACTCCTCTTAATAACACAGGGTGTCCCTCTTATTAAAATGAATAGACTTCAGTGGTTAAGCCAGGCTGCTTGCCTCGCAGACTGGTGGGAACAGTAGCCCTCAAGCAGAGCAGTTTATCTGCCGTAATTATCGCAGCAGCTTTGACTGCAGGACATCCCTCGTTACAGCACTGTACTGTCCCACAGGCAGAGACACAGGTACATGGTCAGACCAAGGTACCAACACACGAGACATGGAGAAACACAGATAATTGCCTGCGTGCCTGCAAGCACCTACAGTAAATGCTGAGATGTGCAGCCATGAAAGAGCAGAGTTAGGTGTATTTACAGCCAGGCTTCAAGGCATGCTGAACCCCACTGAAAACAGCAGCAGCAGCTAGTGGTACCCTGTTTCTCTCCTTCAGAAGATATTAACACACATACACAAACCACTCTACACTGAATGCAAATAGAGAGGGGCAAACGCTTGGTCCACAAATAAGAATCTCCTCCTTCACCAGCTTGTGATGTCACTGCTCAATCTTTCCTGTTCCCCTTCAATGAGAGGTAAAGGATAAATGCGTCTCAGACTTCACAAACCAATGCAACATGGTGAAAGGAGTTAGTGGCACTTCTCGTGTCTAAACTCTCTGGGTTTCAGATCTCAGCTGATCTGTTTCTCATCCTTGAGGAAGCTGTCCATTTCTTACCTACCAAACTCACACCATCTGTGTATCCCAAAGACCATCCATCTTTCACCCTACATGCTGTGGCCAAACACTAAGTTTGGATCTGTGGGACAGGCAAGGAAACCACTTAATAGGATGCTTGCTGGTTCTTCTACAGGTATATTTGGATTTGTTATTGGACAGTCTCCATGTACACTTTCTGGGCTGGGAAATCTCTGCCTATTTCCACAGCATTTGGAATCACTGAATCATTAAGGTTAGAAAAGACCAATAAGATCACCTAGACCAACCATCAACCCACAACCACCACAACCACTAAACCACAGCCCTAAAAAACTACGTCCCATTTACTAAGATACTAGTTCTCGTGGGCCCAGAACAAATCAGGGGCTAATGCATGGGGAAGAGCTCCACTTTCCTCCTTCCAAGGATTTTCCAAATGGGAAAAACCTACCAGAAAGACAAATGGCAGTAGCACATCCCAACATTGACTCCACTGCCATCTCAGAGCATTTCTCTGGGCAGTGGAGACTTTTGTCCTTACAGAATGGAGCACAGAGTTTTTGCATCACTCTTCTTCTCCTTCATGTCATGGTCACATCCTGAACTGTCTGTATTTCTGCCTAGATGAAGGTTAGCAAGGATGTCTTTTGGGGAGCAGCTGACAA